AAATTAACCGCAGTTCAGTTCACCACTTCACCTTCAAATTGCAATCATCATAATGCGCACACTCTTCTTCTTATTTTATTATTATAATGTTTGATATACTATTTGGATGGAGAAAAACTTCAAAATGGTATAATAATATAATGGGCTTTATATGAAAAATCTTTCTATCATTCTGTCTGATGTTATGTTGTAATAATTATTTGTTATTATATGAGTAAATATGAGTAACCATCATAAATTCTCATCAGCAAGATACGGACAGTTGCCCGAGCTTGTATCTATTCGCAAGCTGTTTAGAGGGCGTTACGGTGACAAATTCGTAACTAGCGCAATTGAATTACTTCCCGAAAATCTTGTCAATAATCAGGTTTAATATTCCAATATTAGCATCAATATCAAAGTTTTAATATTTGAATATTGATTGAGGAGTGTACTTGGCAGATAAAAGAGAAGCTTTACATTAAAAAGGTGGCTGATGATGCTAAATACAAATTACTGGATGAAATAGGTAGTACCTTCGTTCAGCCAGCTGGACCGTTGTTCCTCGAGTTACTACGTGTCTAGTTAATATATTTTATATATTTTGAATTTGATATATTTATCATAATTTAATAGTACAATGAAAATATTAAAAATATTTGAAGTAAATAGTGTGAATTCAACATGAGATTTTAGTTTAAAAGTTCCATATTTTAGATTTTACGGTACGACCATAAATCAACTTAAAAATAACATGGACTAGTGAACTACTACTTTAAACCTCATACCACCACCACCGGAGCAAACTTTTCAGAACCTATTATCTTGCAATTAAAATTTTTAAAGGAATTTATTATAATTTAATACAATTCTAATCAAATATATGAACAAATTTATTTATTTATTTTTAATTTAAAACTAAAGTATCCACAATTTGATGTAAAAGAACATATTTCTATATATATGAATGATTCTAGTAACATATTGATATAACTAAATGGGCCGGCCCAATGGGCCCTCAAATATATCTACTAATTAGGCCCATTACACGAAAGCCCAAATACCTTCAAAGTAAGGCTTGGGCCCAACAAAGTAAGCCCAATCCAATCACCGAGATATAAATAGGTATTTTACTCATTTGTAAAGGTACGTTCTAATCATTCACAATCAACCTCGAAGATTATTCTCTTAGCTATCTCTACGATCCGTACATCTGACTTGAGCGTCGGAGGGGTTTCCGCCGGATCAACCCCCGGCTTAGTTCACGTGTGCTCATTTTTGTAGGGACCTCAGGATCATCAAGTTATCAAGCTACTGATCCGCTTTGCTCTCCCAACTAGTTTTCTACATCCCCTAGGTGAGCTATATTTTAGCATCATCATTTTGGCGCCGTCTGTGGGAACGATGCAAACCAGATCACGTAGCCAACAAGATCCTCCTGAGGTGTCAACTCGGAGAGAAAATGACACGGCTAATAACCTTCCCGTCCGTGGAGGATCTGGCATACCACCTCCTCCACGCGCCGCGGAGCCACTTCCTCCACGTGCTGCAGATCCACCTCGCGAGGTTCAGGTGATCCCCCCTCGGGACCCACCACTCGCCGATCCACCACTCCCTGCTCCTCGAACGGTTCAAATAACCGAGGACGCTCTCCAACGTATGATAGCGGAAGCTTCTACTCGCGCCGCCACGGAGGCCGTAACTCAATATATCGCCACGATGGGAGCAAACGCTCCCAATGCGATACCAGCGCCAGCTCCACCTGTAGCGCCACCCGTGGCCCCACAGCCAATACCGAATCAAATAAGTGTCTCCTCCTCTACCTCGGATCCACGATCCCGAGTGCAGTTATCTACCAACCACCGAGGGGCACAGCCCAGACAGCAGCGTCAGCGCTCACCCCCAAGGGGGAATGCGTCACCACAGAGAGTCCCTCTCTTTAATGAGGGAGAAGGCGAGGTAAACAGCAGAATGTCTCGCCAAAATCTTTTCCCCCAACCAAATAATCAAATGGGTGAAAGAATGCCTCTCCCAACAAGACGCAGTCCTTTCACCATAGACATTCTCAACGAGGTATTACCTCAAGGAGTGAAGATCTCGGGGTTACCTCAATTTGAAGGGACCACCGACCCACAGGAACATATAGAGAAATTCAGTGCCATGGCGGATTTATATGGCCCGACGGATGCTGCTATGTGCAAAATGTTCCGTACCACTCTCTCCTAGAGGGCAATGAATTGGTTCAACTCTCTACCCATAGGGTCGATTGACACCTTCGCTCGACTGTCAACCCGGTTCACCAACCAATTCGCTATCAACAAACAATATGCCAAAACCCCAGCTCATCTCTTCTCAGTAGTACAGAGAGATAACGAAACGCTCCGCAACTACATCAAACGTTTCGTAGAAGCCGTCCATGAAGTCCCCAGTGTGGGGCAAGACATGCTCTCTGGGATTATGCAACAGAACTTAAAACCGGGCAGATTCAAGGAATCTATTGCCGGAAGACCCCCAGGCAACTTAGAGGAGTTACTGGATCGAGCCGAAAAATACGTCCGGATAGAGGAAGCCTCTACCCATTCTCCTCCTAAAAGGAAAAGGGAAGATGACCGTCAAGACAATAGGAGGCGCGATGATCGACGTCCACCACTTCCACCTCAAGGCCAACCCTCTTCCTCCTACAATAGGTTCACTCCGCTAAACACTCGCCTCACGGAAATCCTTCACGTGATAGAACAGAAAGGTTTAGCAAAACCTCCACGTCCTATGCAGCCAAACGCAAAGCGAGAAAAGTCGGATCGTTATTGTCGATTCCACAAGGACAGAGGGCATACTACGGAGGAATGTGCACAACTCAAAATGGCGATCGAGAGGCTGATCAAACAAGGCCATTTAAGCGAATACATTGATAAGCCTCGAAATAAGCGCCGTGATGATCCTCCACGTCGAGATAATAATCGAGATCAACAGCAAAGGCGAGAGGATGGAGGTCACCGACGTGACCTAGATAACAATGATAACCATCCCACCCGGGGAATCATCTCCTTTATCTCCGGAGGACCGGCGGGGGGCGATTCACAAAATGCAAGACGCACACTCGCTCGATCAGCGCGCATGAATCAAGAACGCGCTTCTCCATCCGAACGCATATATCAAATACGAAGACCTGATCCCAGCATAGTCTTCAACTCCTCCGACCTCGAAGGTCCAGATGAAGACCATGTCGATGCATTGGTAGTAACAACAACGGTGGCCAACTTCTTGGTCAAGAAAATATTAGTGGACGGTGGAAGATCAGCTGACATCATGTACCTCCACGCTTTTAAGCAGTTAGGCATAGATAATGCCCGATTTAATCCCGTCTCCACACCCCTGAAAGGATTCACAGGAGAAGGCATTTTATCCATGGGAGAAGTAGAGCTGCCCGTCTCTTTAGGGGAAGACCCCTGTCGAATCACGAAACTAATCAAGTTCCTCATCGTCGACAGGCCATCACCCTACAACATCATTCTGGGGAGGCCAGCCATCCACACATTCAAGTCAGTGCCTTCCTCCTATCATCAGAAGTGGAAGTTCCCTACTCCCTATGGAATGGGGGATGTACTTGGAGATAGACGTCTCGCTCGAGAGTGCTATGCAAGGGCCCTACGAGAACCCTCAAAGAAGCCTAAACCACGCGGAAAGGGAGACGATACCCAAAAATCCGACAAACGGAAGTGGGTCAATGCGATCATTGAGGACAATAGAGAAATCCTCATCAGTGTACCAGATGATAGCATCAAGCTAGCGGCTGTCGAAGAGCTTAAGCTCACAGAGCTCACACCTGGAGATAATTCAAAACTCCTACGCATCGGATCCGGTTTAGATCCTGAGACAGAGCAGCAGCTAATCAACTTCCTGCGACACAATGGAGATGTGTTCGCATGGAAAGCCCAAGATTTGTCGGGCATTCCCCCTCAGGTAGCCCTACATCGGCTTAACGTCGACAAGAGGATGAAGCCTGTCAAACAGAGGAAACGGACATTTGGTCCTGAGCGCAACAAGCATATCAAAGCGGAAGTGGCAAAACTCCTTGAAGCGGGCCACATACGACCAGTCCAGTATCCTGAATGGCTGTCGAACGTAGTACTCGTTCCAAAGCCGGGTGGCAAGTGGAGACTATGCGTAGACTTCACTGACCTCAACAAAGCTTGTCCTAAGGACCCATTCCCTCTACCCAGAATCGATCAGCTCATCGATTCGACCTCGGGGTGCGAACTCCTCAGCTTCCTCGATGCATACCAAGGGTATAACCAGATCTTACTTGCGCCAGAAGATCAAGAGAGGGCTAGTTTCATAACTGACCAAGGCATCTACTGCTATCAAGTCATGCCCTTCGGGTTAAAAAATGCAGGAGCCACCTACCAGCGTCTAGTGAACAAAATGTTCGCAGATCAGATCGGTAAAAATATGAAGGTGTACATCGACGACATGCTCGTCAAAAGTGTCAGGGTCTCGGACCACCTAGCTGATCTAGATCAGTGTTTCGCCACCCTACGAAAATATAAGATGAAGCTCAACCCCCTCAAATGTTCATTCGGAGTTCGGGGAGGCAAATTTTTGGGTTATATTATTTCACAGCGGGGAATTGAAGCTAATCCCGCGAAAATCGAAGCAATCACCTCCATGGCTCCACCAACATCGATCAAGAAAGTTCAACAGCTCAACGGCTGTTTGGCATCCCTGAACAGATTCATTTCAAGATCAGCGGACAAGGCTCTCCCCTTTTTCAAAATTTTAAGGGGAGGAAAAAAGTTCGAGTGGGATGAGGCATGTCAAAAGGCATTCGTTGAGCTGAAAAGTCATACTTAGCATCCCCACCCTTGCTCACAAAACCTCAGCCCGGAGACACCCTCCTACTGTACTTAGCTACCTCAGATAATGCCGTCAGCGCAGTCCTCATCCGAGATGGAGAAAAGGGCCACCAACCCATATACTACATAAGTCGCGCCCTCCAAGGAGCCGAACAACGCTACACCAACATGGAGAAACTCGTTCTCGCCCTCATCAACGCAGCTCGGAAGCTTCGACCTTACTTCCAGTCACATCAGGTGGTGGTTCTCACCAATTACCCTCTGAAGCAAATACTAAGAAGTCCCGAAACATCCGGACGATTAGCAAAATGGGCAATAGAGCTAAGTGAATATGGAGTGGAATTTAAACCCCGCCCAGCTATCAAAGCGCAAGTATTGGCAGATTTTCTAGTCGAAATGACTTCCATACAAGAAAGCACTTCGATACCTACTTGGTCTGTCATCGTCGACGGATCTTCCACTACCACAGGAGGGGGAGCGGGTATCGTACTAACGAATCCTGATGGAGATGAGTTTGAATACGCTCAACGATTCGAATTCACAGCCTCAAACAACGTTGCTGAATACGAAGCATTGATAGCGGGAATCCGCCTCGCCGTAGCAGCCGGAGCGCGCAAGCTCCTAATCCAAAGCGACTCTCAGCTCGTCGTTAACCAAGTACTCGGAGTGTACGAGGCCAAAGAAGACACCATGGCCAAATACTTAGCTCTCGCGCACACTCTCTTATCTAAATTCGAGAGCTACGAGATAAGACAAGTACCTCGCTCCAATAACGTCCATGCTGACAAATTAGCTAGGCTTGGAAGCTCCATGGCTAGCATCGGAAGTCGGAAGGTGACGCTCCTCACCTCACCTCAGCCAGAGATAACTTCACCCACTGAAGTACAGTACACCGAGGAGGATGAACCATGCTGGTTCACTCCAATCCTGAAGTATCTCAAGAAGGGAGAACTTCCAGCGGATTCCACCGAAGCACGAAAGTTAAAAACGAGAGCCGCTCGCTTCGTCATAGTGGGAGAAGAGTTATGCAAATGCGGGTTCTCATTCCCTTACCTCAAGTGCCTCGACCCGACCACAACGGATTATGTACTTAGAGAAGTACACGAAGGCATCTGCGGAAATCATTTAAGCGGGAGAACTTTAGCTCTCAAACTACTGAGGCAAGGCTACTATTGGCCAACGATGCATGAAGACGCGAAGAAGTTAGTCCGGAAGTGTAAGCCCTGCCAAGAGCATGCAAATATCACTCACCTGCCAGCGGCGTTAATGCAACCAATTGACAGCCCCATTCCTTTCGCCCAATGGGGGATGGATTTAGTTGGACCATTCCCGCCCGCCACAGGAGGACGCAAATACCTCATTGTAGCAGTGGACTACTTCACCAAATGGGTGGAAGCTGAACCCTTAGCGCGCATCCGAGAAGAAGAATTCATCCAATTCCTATGGAAAAACATCGTGTCGCTTTGGAATCCCACGTTCCATTATCTCAGATAATGGAACACAATTTTGCGGTGACAAAGTGAAGAATTGGTGCCTTGGCTTAGACATCAAACAGTTCTTCACATCCGTAGCCAATCCACAGGCTAATGGCCAGACGGAGGTCACGAATCGCACTATACTCCAACACCTTAAGACAAGGCTTGGAAGTGCCAAAGGGAAGTGGGTGGACGAATTGCCTAACGCACTATGGGCTTATCGCACAACCCCACGAGCGGCAACCGTAGAGTCGCCTTTCAATCTAGCTTTCGGAACAGAAGCTATAGCACCCGTTGAAATAGGTGAACCATCTTGGAGAATCACCAACTACGATCCAGCAGCTAATGAAGAAGCTATGAGAGGAAGCCTAGACCTTGTAGATGAGCTACGAGAGATCGCATACATCCGGAAACAGATGTACAATTCACGCATGGCCAAGGCATATAACTCAAAGGTCCGTCCCCGCTCCTTTCAAGTTGGGGATTTAGTCCTCCGGAAAGCTGAAGCCTCTCACCCCATCGGGAAGCTCGACCCAAAGTGGGAAGGACCATATAAAATCACAAAAGTGGTCAACACTGGAGCATATCGCCTAGAGAACATTGATGGACACCCTATACCCAGAACATGGAATATAGGGAACCTCAAACGGTTCTACGCCTAAGGTATACACCTGCATTACTTCAGATTAGTTGAGGTCACCATCCATACCCCTTCTATATGAAAGTTACTTACAAATTGTCACATCTGCAGGCTCCGCGACCTTTCACGTAACTCGTCTTGTACGCTGTTTCAACATGGTTAGAAATTTTCTACTACATAACTAGGTACGTTAACATCCTACCTAAACTGGGGGGCTAGTAAATTTATTTTCACCAGCAATTCATCATCACATCCCAACATCTTATTACAGATTGAGAGCCAATTACGAGGGGATGCATATTACTCAATCAACGGCCCAAAGAGCGAGAACACTCCATACTACATCGCTAAGGGTAACTATACTTCCACTAGCATTCACCACACGGATGATCTTATTTACTCCTACTAACGTGAAAAAATAATTCCACTAGCAGGCATGATCGCATAGTAACTCGCAGCAACTCACGAGTTGATTTCATATCTCGAAGTGCGAGGAAGAAAAAACATCCCCGTAGTATGGTACGTAGATCGGCGATGCACATCCCCTCAGCTTCAATTACCAAGTCTTCAATACAAATGCTTAGACAAAATTCTTTTTTCTCAATTATATTTGACAGGCATACAGACGCCAAAGGAATTCATTCTACCATCAGCACAGCAAAATGAACGAGTACAAGCAAGACGTGGAAGAAGAAGAACAAGAGTAGTACAATCACTTAAAACAATTTTTATCAAGTCAATTTTTTTTTTCTCGCTCCACCAGTAGTTATTTACCTTCGCCTCACGTAGGCCTATCGCATTAGTCATTTACTTACATTCGCCTCACGTAGGCATGTAACAATTCTCCTTTGCTATTGTTGAATAAATAATACTTTTCGCTTTACTATCTACGCTTTTACATATATACAAATTACCTCTTACCATGAGTTCAAGTCAATACCACCCTACAAACACTTAGAGAGATTTAGATAATCCGTATAGCCTGGCCAGCTGGATTAGCTAAGTCCTTTTATTTGTTTCACGAGGTGTTAATTTTAAAACGTGGCCACGGACAAATATATTTAAGACCTACGCGGTCCGTACAAAGGGCACGACCCTTAACAAAAACCTTGGAAGACGGATCCTCTCCCCAAGTACATCGCGTATAATGCTAATGTAGATACATATAAGCAACGCATTAATTCTTGACAATGTCGAATAAATAAATCAAAATATTAAACTTCAAAGTCAAACAAGGAAGAAAGTCAAACGAAATCGTAGAGGACATACCCATCTACATCAGCGATAAAAATAAAACTAAGAATCTAGAAAAAAAAAAAAAAGAGTTTAACTATCCTAGCAAAAATATCTAAACTCCACCACCACGGGCAGAAGACGCCCTCACAGTGGGGTCATCGACAACCATGTCATCCACGAGCTCTGTGCCCGTTTCGTTGCCATCGACCTCATCCTCCTCTTCATCTGATATACCAGCCTCAATCCCACGAATCACTTCCTCGCTGATCCCACCCGCATCGCGCAGATATTTACGACAAGCACGCACTAAGGGCTTATAAACCACAGCCAATGCATGCTTCTCAATCATAGCAGCACACTCATCACTACCTCGGAAATTAGCCTTGGTCTCCTCCACAATGGACTCTTTATAAGCCGCACCACCTGATGTTGTAAGGAACCTCTTCCCCGTAGCCTTCTCGACTTCGTATTTCTCCTTGAGCTGGTCATAGCATTCGTTCAATTTGTGAACATCATCCTTATACGCTTTCGCATCACCCCGGATAACCTCAAGCTCCCCTGTCTTCTGCGCAAGCTCCTCTGTCCTCCGAGCAAGCTCTTCCGATCGTTGAGCAAGATCGAACCGCGCTACTTCCAACTGGCTTAGAAGATCATCCTCCCGTGTGTGAATTCGAGCCCGCTCCTCTTCCTTCCTCGCTTCCACGTTCCTACCGTGCTCCATGAGATATCTCCAAGTAGCCACCAACTATATATAAAAAAAAAAAAAAAAAAGTTTTACACAAGGAAGAGAGGAAGCAACATCTAATCTTGTTCTAAATAAACAAGGACTCACCCGACATATGTCCCCACCGGCTAAATCCAACATGTGAGAAGGGCCCTTACCAGACATCCGAGCACGATCATACTCCCGAACGAATCCCTCGGTACTCAACATAGGTAGATCACGGTCCGACACATCCCAATACGACTCCTTACCGTCGCGATTCACACCATAGGTAAACAATTGTTTCCCTCCCCCACCATGGAAAGCATAAGTCTCCTCTCGCTCTACCCGGGGACGCTTAGGCACAGCCACATACTCGGTATCCACCATCTTTCCCTTGCCACGATCTCTCGTCGGCGGACGCCCCTCCACTTCACCAGCACTGCTACGGTCATCTGCGACTACTCGAAGAGTTTCTACATGGACCTCCTCACGAAACAAACCACTTGAAGAACCTCCCAACGTTGAGGGTACCTTCTTCGATGCCTTCTTCGACGTCCCATTCGCCTTCGCTCGAAGTGCCGCAAAGGTGATACCCCCATCTACAAAAGATAACAAACACATAAGAGACATGAGGTATACATTACCAAAGAACTAAAAAAAAAAAAAAAAAAAAAAAAAAAAAAAAAAAAAAAAAACACACACAAGTCAAGGCAACAAAAAGATATACGGTGCTGACCCTTCGCCTTTGGAATCAAAACCCGCGGGTCAAATTCCACATCACACAATCCCGACTCTTCAATCCTTTTTCGCCATATTCGCAGTAATCGTGAAACTCCCGCACGTAGGATTCCAAACTACGGGAACGTCAAAAGTGGGAGCCTTCACATAAAAAAAATGGGTCTTCCATTTCCCCAAAGATAACTTCACACTCTTCACGAATTGATAAGGAACGCGAGGATGAAAACAAAAGAAAGGTGTCTCATTGGGCCGATGTAACGTAAATAACGCCTTGAACAAACTCACGGTCATAGGCAAACCCACTAGAGACACCCTACGGTGAAACGTCTCGAACATAAGAACTGCAGTCGGAGTTAACTGACTGTACCCTATCTTGAATTCCTCACAAACCTTCAACAAGGTGGGATGCGGTGTAATCTGAGATGTGCACGTCAAGTACCCCAAAAATACCGTATGAAACCCATCGGGTGGCGAATACAAGCGATCGCCCTTCCGAGGCAACAACAACTCGACATTACTCGGCGCTCCAGATAAACGCCGAATAGAGTGCAAATGCTCTTCCGTCAACACACTATCAAAATTAACTAAGTCCAAATTAATTGGCTTCTTTTTCTTTTGCCTCCTCTTATCAACCTCAACATCACCAGACGGAATATCATCTTCCTCCCCCTCCTCATCCGTCGGCTCAACTCCACTACTTGACACAGCATGATCACTCGCCAAAGGGGCGTGGTTAGAATCGTCACTATCGCTCCCAAAATCCACAATTTGACGTCGAGAATAACGCCTACTAGCCACAACTCCATCCACTTGCTCACTAACGTGAATACTCGCTTCTACATCGTCACTCCAAGATTCAATGATTTCTCGCCTCTCGGCACTCCGAACATTCACACTATCTTCGACTTCAATTTGCTCCTCATGTTGCCCGACTTGATCGAAAAAACCGCGCCGAAAAATAGCTCCGGACGCGCCCTCACGCGCGCGCGTCCCCTCGGATGACGCGCTCTCACGCGCGTTCACCCCCCCTTCCGACGCGCGCTCACGCGCCACAACACTTCCCAGCGGCGCGCGCGGACGCGCGCCCTCAGAGGGCAGCCCGCGCGCGTCACCAACACCACCACTCTCCTCCGACGCGCGCGCACGCGCCCCTCCATTGGGCAGCGCGCGCGGGTCACCACTGCCCCCTTCACCAACCCGCACGCGCGCGTCGGGACACGTCCCACTCCCGCGCGCGCGTCCCCCCAAACCCGACGCGCCATGAACAGCAGCAGGCCCACGTGGCCTGCTCTCTCTCTCCCTTCTCTCCTTGGTCCGAGTGCAAGCCGTCGGCTCCGCGGCTTCACTCGGCTCCGACTGTACATTGAAGCGCGCGCCCCTCCACTGATTTTGCTGCCCGGCTACACGGCTCGAGCCGACTCCGGTCTCCGAGCCACCTACTTTACACCCCTTCGCAATAGTCCGTGCACCTACTACTGCAGATCCGATTTTTGCACACGGTATTACAAACGTTTCGCGTTCCATGCCCACGGAACTAAAAGTTTTCTCGCCCCCTTCTACCGGATCTCGAAGTTTAATTCGCAAGGATTTCGACTTACCGGGATTCGACATAAGTAATAATTTTCCCGGAGAAAAAATCAAGAAACAAAAAATTTCTACTCTACAGCAAAAAAAAATTAAAGATAAAAATAGCACAGAAAAATACCTAGAGTTAAAAGTACATACCCATATTTATCACGCAGGAGATGAAATTTAAATTTTTCCACCGCAAAAGGAGTCTATTTATCTGGCCCTGGTATAATATTTAAAATCCTTAAATATATACCTCGCTGCCAAATAAATACAATTATCCCTTATTTAAATCAAGAAATAAATTCACCGCCAACGGAAACTATTCAATCCACGACGCAATTAACTCTCGACACGACCCGGACCCCTCTACACAAGTCCCCTTCTCGAATCGAGAGTTGGGGGGCTTAATGATATACCTAAATGGGCCGGCCCAATGGGCCCTCAAATATATCTACTAATTAGGCCCATTACACGAAAGCCCAAATACCTTCAAAGTAAGGCTTGGGCCCAACAAAGTAAGCCCAATCCAATCACCGAGATATAAATAGGTATTTTACTCATTTGTAAAGGTACGTTCTAATCATTCACAATCAACCTCGAAGATTATTCTCTTAGCTATCTCTACGATCCGTACATCTGACTTGAGCGTCGGAGGGGTTTCCGCCGGATCAACCCCCGGCTTAGTTCACGTGTGCTCATTTTTGTAGGGACCTCAGGATCATCAAGTTATCAAGCTACTGATCCGCTTTGCTCTCCCAGCTAGTTTTCTA